GGCTAGGGCAATTCTGGCGCGGTTCAGGGGGGCCCTACTCGGTCAAAGCTAAGAGATGCATCCTTGCATCTCCCGTGCTGTGCAACCTTCATCGCAGGCGCATTCGCCGGCCGGGTCTCGACTATCCACATGCAGCCACCCTCGCAATACAAATGGGGGGGGGGGGGCTAGAAGGGAGAGGCTGCGACCTAGCCATTCACGCTTGAAGGTTGTTCTGGCAAGTCTCAGTTCCCAAGAAATATGCTGCGGAGCAGTGATCCTGGATCTTGCATGCGCGTTTTACACAACTACCAGACAGCTCTCGCTGCGACTTCCTGGAGCTGACGAAGAGCCACAATGGGAGCTCGATCATTTTGACCTGCCTCCAGCGTTGCTCGAAGGAGTGCGTGCTCAGCTTCAGGCTCGCCCCATTTATGATGAACATGCTGGCAGCGAGCACTTGCTCGCCGTCAGTCGCGAAACCCAAAGAGGGGGATTTTGGCGAGTGGCCAATGCTGACGCGTTCACTGCGCCCTGTGTGGGTCGCAAAACCTGAGACCGGTCATGCCGCCGGTACCTCCAGCACCGTTTTTATGAGGATCCACGACAGCATTGAGGCCGCCGTCAAAATCGAAGGTGGGGCCCAGGAAATTTTAGGCTCTCTCCCCGGTGATATGGGCTATGGTAAGGCTGCTGACAGAGGGCAGCAGCAGCAGCTTGGGACATCATTTGTGGATGACCTTACCCAGCTCTTTCTGGCTACTCGGGCAGATGACCTAGCGAGGGTTGCCCAAAGCACCCTAGACTCTGTATATGTTGCGCGCTGCACACACGGCCTTCTGCCAAACGCAAAAACACAAAGTTCTGCTTGCGTTTGGGGGCCAGGGTTCTAATCGCGCTAAAGTCGACCCTCAAAGTGATCCGATTCGAGAAACACAGTGTACCCATCACGATTTCAAGGCTGACGTGGTCACATGCCACCGCGCGCTTGGCCCCTATCTACCACGCAACCAGAGCACGGCCCCGGAGATCGTTGCACGGACGCAGGCGGACTCTGGAGCTCTCGGCCCCATCGAGAAAACCATCGCCCCCTGGGAGAGCTTTCGGTCAGGGCCAAGGTCCTTTACGCGGAGTGCCTTGCCTGCTCGGTGTTATTCCACAGCGCCTGCACCTGGCTTCAATTAAGCAAAACCTTAGACGCGCGACTCAGGCGGGGGCGCGAAAGAGTTTACATGGCCGCCATCGGGGCCCCTAGTGCCAACGGCAATCTCCGACGCGACTCCTACTTCGACATCGCGGCAAAGACGCAGCGCCCGCCCCACGACGTCGCGACGAAGGTGCACCGACTAAGGTTTTTCGGCAGAAGTGCCACGCGAGCCCCCCCCCTCTGCTACATGTCTGACTAGATTGCATGTTTGATCCGCCCGCTGGATGGGCCCTAGTACTGAGCGAAGATCTGATTTGGCTGGCCGAATTTCTGGAACCAGCTCGGAGGCCCTGGGGCCCTAGCTCGCGCTCTTGGCTTCAGTTTGTTCGAGCCTGTCCAGCCGCATTCAGGGGCCTGCTCAAGTCTTGTGCTGCCAAGGCTCTTGCGTTCTGGACTGACCAGTAGCATCTTCATGCGTTGGAGCGCCGACTGGGCAAATTTGATAACGGTCACCCAACGAAACCCCACCCCACGTGCCCCTCCATGTTTTCCGTTGTTCGGTCTGCTCTAAACCGTTGGGCCCTTCAAATAATTACGGGCCCATTATTGGAACTTTCAACCACATCCCCACGCTCTTGTCTCATTCATTGCTGGATCGGATTGCCGCGGGAGTTGCCGAAGCTACCGCGCCCCTGGACGCTTGTATAAATATTCCATGCGAGCCCAGACTTGCCCGAGAGCATGGTGGGCCTCTGGGCATCGAGCATCGCAGACCGAGCTCCTCGTGTCCACGGCAGCTAGAAAAGGCGCATGCCGCCGCCCACAGCAAGGCTGGCCATCAGTACAACCTCGCCGTGGCACCACCTGAAAAATTATATGGGCCACCCTTTGCTCCCAAACACAACGCCCCCCCCCACACCACCCACCTCTCACTGTTGTCCAGGCCGATCCAGCGGTGCCGCCCCCCCTTTGTGCCCCTGTCTTCTCTCCCCTTCGGGCCCCCGCTCGAGCCAAAATGTTCGCGCTCCATTTTTCCGGGGGCATCCGCCGAGAATGAGACTTTAGTTCTGGGTTGGGGACACTCTCAGGGCATTTCCTGGCAACCTTTGTGTTCTGAGCATTGACGTTATCAACGACCCCTGATATTGAGATCTTACGCGGACAGAACCCGCCAACCTGTGGGCTCCATTACTCCGTGGAGGGTTCATATGTGCTGCATTGGCTGGGCCTCCTTGCGAGACCGGGTCCGTTGCTAGGCACAGAGATCCTGGACACCACGATGACGGTTCGCTTTGCAAGCCTCCAAGTCCGCTTCGCTCAGCCACAGAACTCTGGGGGTTCAAATATATAAATGCCCGTGAACACCAACAGCTGTCTCTAGGGAACATGCTCCTGCGCACCACACTAGAGTTTGCCATTGTATGCTGGCGTTTTGGAGCGCCTTTCATCATGGAGCACCCTGCTGAACCCTGGGACCACCCTGAGGACCCCAGCTCCTGGTTTCTCCCTTTGTCCAAAGGTTAATGATGCAGGAGCATGTTCAGAAACACACCATTCATCAGAGCGCATTCGGGGCCCCCACTCCTAGGAATACACGTACCGTCTCTGGGGATAACCATCAGGGGCAGACCTGGAGGCTCCACACGTTCTCATCCCAGGGGACATCGTGCTTTCTCAGGATGGGAACAGGGTGGAAGCTGGAGGACTGCAGCCGCCACGACGTATCCCTCAGGGCTCTGTAAGACTCTGGGGGTGGCTGTTGTGCAAGAAGCTTGGCGTCGCTTTCCCTGGCTCTTCTGAGGACGGGGGCCCCCTCCCCCCGAAGGCGCCTCGTCGGCAAACGTGCCCGTTCGCAACCAGGGGCCCTCGGGGTTCCATCGCACTCAGGCCAGACCTCACTAGACCTCCTTGGGGCCCGACCACTACAATGGACCGTCTCAGGAGAGACGTGGTTACGACAAAGACTACAAATTCACGCGGACACGGACGGATGGTTACCCGCGCCCTTGCGACGGTACCACGCCCCATTGGACCCAGACTGTGATGCACCAACTACTGGTATGGATTGCATGATTCACAATCGAAAACTCACCAGGAGCTAGAAAGGTCAGCGAAACACAGTCAAAAATTGTTGCCTGCCTATGCTCTCCCCCTCCTGGTGCTGCCTGTTGTGTGCATGGGCCTAGATGAAGGGCTGGACGGGGAATGTTTGCTGTGCCTGTTGGCTCCGCCAATGTACGCACATTTTGAAAACCAATACTTTTCCAGTGCAGCACAGTGTACCGTGCTGTCCGACACTGCCAGTAACCATGCCCAAGGGGGCGAAGGCTCTTCTTATCCAATCACTATTTTTCATCACATTTCTGTCTCTGTGCTCGCCCAATTGAAAAGGCAGTACCCCCCGCACACAATCTGCATTTCTATATGCCCGCTCTCGCAGCTGTCACCGTCTAAGCCGGACGTTAAAGGGCTGAGGCAACTTTACGAGGGTATGGTTGTATAGCTCGATGACTGCTGCTGCTGCCGTCATTATTCCACCATCCCGCCTCTGCTCGTCCCTATCCTGTCGTGGCTCCGATCATCTGCCATCAATCGGAGAATAAGAAGAAAGGGAGGAGGAGGAGGAGGAGGAGGAGGAGGAGGAGGAGGAGGAGGAGCAGCGGGCGGTGCCCGAGGAGGATGAGGAGGCCATCCTGGCTGATCTGCAGGCGGCGGTGGCGCGCCCTGCGGCTAGGTGGGGCCATGGCCAGAGGCGCTAGCGGACCGCCGCCCGAACGAACAGGCGACGCGAGCGGGAGGCCCCGGAGGGTGCAGATGACAGTGTGTTCTCCTAGGAGGCGCTGCGGCTCGCGGCGCAGTGCGACGACGAGGAATGGGAAGAGATACAGCCCGCCCTGCTCGCACTCCGGACGCCCGACTCTGCGCTGCGGGGAGGGGCCGAAGGCAAGGCGGCGCAGGACAGGCGCAAGGCTGAGGCAGGGGTGTTGAGCGTCTTCGCCAAGGAGCTGCTCAAGCTGATGAGGAGCGCGGGAGGGGGCGAGGCGCTGGGCGGCGGGCGTCGCCGGGGCCCGGAGCGAGAACCCCCTCCCCCTTCGGACGCCCCATGGTCGGCGAATCGACCACGGTCGAAGAGGGAGAAGAGGAGCAGAAGTGGCAGGCGCAGGCGGAGGGAGTGCGAGGCGCGCTCATCACCCTGGCTGGCCAGGTGCAAGAGAAACACATCCAGGGTTCGGACGTCGTCGAACGCTTGAGGGACCTCCTGCGAGCTGTGGACGCAGGAAGGGTGAGCGCAGCCCCGAGCCCTGGAGGCGGAGGAGGCGGCAGCAGCACTGGAGGGGTAAGGGCCCCCAGACGGGCGGCGCAATAAGAGAAGGAGGAAAGGAAGGAAAGCCGCCCTCAGGCGGCAAAGGAGGCGTCGGCACCGACACCAGCAAACCGAAGGGCGGCAGAGGCGCTGGAGGAGACGGGAAGGCGGCGGGGGCCGGGCCAACGCGCACCTGGGCCAGCGTTTGGCCGAAGGAGGCGGAGGAGCGGGAGGCGGAGGGGCGAAGGCTCGAAGGCTGCACCTGCCCAGACCCCTCTGCGCCTCTGGCCAGGGGATTGGGGAGCGGAAAGGACAGCCAGATTCCAAGCAGCTCCTACGGAGGTTCGAAGAGACGGGGAAGACGGCGGTGGAGCAGGTGAAGGCCATCACGGTCCCCGCCACGGAGGTGGCGAACCTGCGCACGTACGCTGAGTCTTTCGATCTGACGGGCTAGTGTGCCCTCGTCCTCACGGACAAGTGCGAGAGAAGGAGCTGGACGGCGTCAAGGTTGAGCAGCGCTGGATGCGGGTGCAAAGGCCCGCTGGGCAGCCTAGATTAAGGCAGCTCCAGGTCCTGCCGCTGGCTACCGCTCTGCCCCCTTCGTGGGCGTGACGGGGGCGGCCCAAGGCAACACGATCCAGAAGACCGACCCGGAGAAGCTGGATCTGCAGACGCTCAGGATTGCTATGCCTCGGGCGTTTCTCGCCCCTGAAGTGTGGAAGGTAGGCAGGAACAAGTCCGGAACGGTTTTCCTGAGCGTGGCGGACTGGAAGAACCTTGCGGTCAACACCTATGACTGGACGTCTCAGCACGCCGGCGAAGGCAAGGACAAGCAGGTGGTGGCCATCTTTGGGTTCGCCCAGGTCCTGCGGGAGAAGGTCCCTGAGGCTCTGGCGAGCAGCGGAAAGCACGGCCTCTTCGTCGAGCAGCTGGTGCGCTTTCATGGCCGCCCTCGGGTGGAATGGTACTACCAAAGGGACGGGGAGGGCGACCCGGAGTACCTCGACCGCGTGGCCCCGACGGCTCAGGGGGCAGCCTCTCCTTCCGACTGGGCGGCCGGGCCCAGCTAGGCCGACGGCTGCGGCTGGACGAGCAGCCCGAGACGAAATCAGGCCAGTACAGCTGGTACGGGACCCCACGGGTGTGGTCAGCGCCGGACGTCGTGTCCTTCATGGTGGACCAAAACTGGCGCGACGTCCGCGTCCTCGACCACCCGGCCCGGGGAAAGGGCTGGCTGGTCACCGGCACCCCGCCGGCTGAGGAGAAAGCATGCCATGGGTACCAGAATGGAGACCGCATGATCACGGTCAGCCGGGTAGCGAAGGCTCCGATGGCGCCTCAGATGCAGCCCATCCGGGAGGCGGGGAGGCGAGTCAGGAAACTCGAGGATTTCCTGCCTGGGGCGCAGCCGCGCGCGTCCACGCAGACCAACGAGGCGGCGCCGCCAGCTGCTGCGGCCCCGGCCGCGCCGGGGAGGAGGCAGGAGGAGGCCGCCGCCGCGATGGACGAGGAGGGAGGTGAGGAGGAGAGCAGGAAACGCGCTGCAGCGGCGGCAGAGGCGCAGGCTGCAGCTGAGCAGGAGGAGAAGCGCCGAAGGACGGCGGACAAGGCTCGGCCCTTCGGTTTGGAAAGGTGGGACCTGGGAGGTCGAGGAGACTGTGGGTGGAGGGCCGTCGCGGCTGCGTGGAGCGCCTGGGAAGGCCACGCCGCCCTGGCTGACGTCACGCCCAAGATCGAAGCGCTCAGTAGCAAAGGGCTGGAATTCCTGGGCCGCGGCCCTGGCCAGGCTGCAGAGGTGGGTTGATGAATACTACCTGGCCGCGACGGCTACCATATATATATATATATATATATATGTCTGTGTATGTATATGTATGTATATCTATATATGTGTATATATGTATATATATGTACATATATAAAGATATATTACTCGAATATCGCCGTGTTCGCCTGGGAAAAAAAACGATTGGAAGGTAGGCTGGCTGATCGACCCTGTCGATCCTGAGGCGCGCGAGGCGGCCATGCAGAAGCCCCAGCCGCGGCCCATCTCCCTGGAAGGCGGCCACTACGTGACGGTCAAGCCTCCGCCTGACCTCCCGACGCAAACCTTTGGAGAAGCGGAAGGCCGCTGCGCTTCGCGGTGGCACGTCCGCGGAGGAGGATCAGGAGGACGAGGACGACGAGGAAGAGGTAGAGGCAGGAGCAGCAGCCCCAGCAGCCGGCAGCAGCGCAGGCGCCGAGCGGCAGCCGCCGCACGCAGAGGAGCCAGCACCCACAGCCGCCGCGGCCGTGGCCAGGCCGCGGAGGTGGGTTGATGAATACTGCCTGGCCGCGATGGCTACAGCACCTCATCGCCGATGTGCATCCGGCGTCAGCACCTGTCCACGTCCTCGGGGCACACGGCGATCGACAGCATCCTCCAACGCCGGCGAGGTGATCCCCTCGGGCCGAGCCGACCGCAGGTGGCTCCAGCGGCCGCCCGTCACGCGGCGCGCAAGGCCGCAGGCAGCGGCCACGCAAGTGGTGATGACTTCCCAGACGAGCAGCGCCAGCAGCCCGAAGCCCAACTCGCCGCCCCGGCTCGGGGCACGCCGGGCAAGGATCAGGGCCGATGTCCCCGGCGAGACAGGGCCGGCGCGGGCGAGCACCGAGCGCCTCGCTCCGGCGAGGCTGGGGCAGGCGCCGGCCTCGGCGCCTCCAGGACTGCCGAGGCAGCCGGCGGCGGGCGGGCGCCGCCCCACAGGCGACCCAGCCAGGCAGCGCAGACGTGGAAGGCGACCAGCGCCACGCCACGGGCAACGGGGCGCATGCGCGGTCCTCCCGCGCAGGCCACCTGAGGCCTCCACAGAAAAGGCTTGAGCCGTGGCGGTTGCGGATGTCGCAAGCTCGCAACCGCACGGCCCTCCATCGTTCTACGATTACAGCTCAAGAACAAACCATCAGCACCAGCAGCAGCATCCTTCCCCTCTCCTCCCGCTCCCTCCTCCTCCTCCTGCTCCTCCTCCTGCTCCTCCTCCTCCTCCTCCTCCTCCTCTTCCTTCCTCGTGCCCACCCCCCGCTTCCTCAAGAGTTCGCACAGCGCTTGGCGGATATCTGGAGCGCCTAAGACAGAAGCCCTGACCCAGCTAAACTCTGACTAGTGCTGCCTGTGCGTCTGGACAGGGAAACGACGGGACCTTGAGTGGATTCGAAGATAAGGCGTCTAGGAGTGACTACTCGGAGCGCTCCCACAATTGCAAGATCTCCGAGGCCTGGATAACTCGTCGGCGTGAGATTAAGGGTGCTTAGACTCATGACGCGCTGACTTTGTGAGCCAGACTCCGAGTATTGTCGGCGTCCTCGGCGTTTCTAAGTCCCCAGAAACACTATGAGAACACTTGCTACGAGGAGCTGAGGCGTACCACAGATCACGCAGATGTCCTCTAATGTCACCGCGTCCGCTGTGTTGCTTGAACCGCTCGGAGAGACGCTCGGCTCTTCAGAATCTCACAAGTGACAGTGACAAAGAGGACGGCAATCGCAAGGTGCTCGCGTGCGACCTCGGTGGCCAGAGCGATGCTGTAAAGGCACGTTGCTCGCACGCATCGGCGCGTTATAACGATCACGTCTCTTTCCAGGCGCTTGGAGGGGCCGACACTGTCAAAATGCAACTGGGCCGAGCCTGTGCGCCAGCTGCCAAACAGGTCCATACCCGTCGTCGTCCGATTTCGTGTGACAACCTTCCCCTCTCCTCCTCCACATCCTCTTCTAGGGGCTCCCCTCGCTACGGGCGCACCCTCACCACAGGAGCCTTGATCGTCGATGCCGGCGCCCAGGGGCGACTTCTTCAGAGCCCTCGCAGCGCAGACAGGCCCTCCACTCGTCGTTGTCGTTGTCGTCGTCTTCGTCGTCGTTGTCGTCGAATTCGAACATAGAGTGTGTTGGGCGTTCGGGGACAATGTGAAGCCTCCAGAGGAGAAGGTGGGGGCTCTGGGTTTGAGTTCAGCCTCTGAGGTCGACGACTCCGTCGTTTCCGCGCTTTCGTGCTTGTCCTCGTTCTCCCCCTGTAGACATACATCCAGGGCGCATTAGAAAGGGACCATTCGGTGAACATACCGTCCTGACTTCTTTCGGAGGTGTCGCACATTCACGAAAAGCCTGCAGCAACCAGCTGGGCCAAAATCTGTTGTTATGGCTGCAATCTCGTGCTCTCCCTCCTCCTCATCCCCCTCTACCTCCTCGTCCTCCAACCGCGCCATGTCCTCTATGTGTCGATATTATGTTGTGATTCCTCATCATCCTCATCGCCGCCCAATTCCTCTACCTACTCATGCCGTACCCTCCTCCTGCTACTCCTCATGCTCATCCGCCTCGCCCCTACTGCTTCCTCGGCATTTTCCCTCCTCCTGCCTCCCTCCTATTTGTCCTCATCATATTGTCTTCTGCCTCTTTCGAAATTCCCGCTCTCTCTCTCTCTCTCTCTCTTTCTATCTCTTTCTCCAGACTTCTCCCCGGGGCCCCAAGCCCCCGGCCTCCGCTCTCGTGTTCCTTTTCATGATCCCCCTCCTCCTCCTCCTCCTCGTGTTCGCCTTCCTCGTTCTCGTTTCCCTTTTCATCGTCCTTCCACCTTACTTCATACGTTCTTACCTGTTTGGCTACTCCCACACATACGAATCAACTTATCCGACAAGATCATCCTTGTCATCATCTTCATTCCCTTCCAATGCACTCGTCCCGCTACTCCCAAATACGTACTGCAGGTCCGTGCCGTGTCGACCCTGGCGTTGGTTCCTGACACCGCGCTGGATCGTTCAACCTTGAACGATCGGCCGCTGCCGCAACGTCCGATCGTTCAACATCGATCGATTCTGGGTCGCCGGCGGCATTCAACCTTGAACGCCCGCGCTGGGGTCGCCGCCGGTCGACACGACACGAACCTACCGTACGTAGCAACCGTCGTCGTCTTCATCGTCGTCGTCGCGTTCTGCCTGCCTCCTCTCCTCTCTCCTTCCTCTCCTGGTAGCAGAGGGAAGGGTAGCAGCAGAGCAGGGAGCGTTCGGACGACGAGGATACACATGATGTTTCGGAGTTCCGCGGGAATTAGTTGGATCGGCGCTGGGCCCCCCAGGGTGTGCGCTGGAGGTGCCGCCAGGGATGGGGGCGGCCCAGCACCCATCCAAGAAATGTGCGCGGAGCTCCGAAGGTTTCTGCGTATGCCGCTCGTTGCTCGCGTGACCAGAGCAGGCGTACAATCCAATCGAATCGTAAAGATGTTGTTGTTGCCGAAGGTGACCGTGCATCCTTGCCCGCCGTCCCATATCATGTAGCCATTTGCCGGGTCTTTTAAGTTTGGTTTCGACTCGGGCGTCCAGGGGCCGTGCATCCTCACCGAACATCCCCATGATCCAATCGCACTGTATTCTGGGGAGGAAAAAACACACAGGTACAATTCATCGTCGACTCCCCGGAAAAGATGGGAAGTGGGGGGAAGACGAAAATACAGAAAATATGGGAAACTATGGGGGATCTTGTTATTCGTGTTTATTTCTTTGCGTGTCCCAGGGCCCCTTCATGTACCCTGGGGAGGAGGGCCTTACGGCCCGCGTCGGGCCCAGGTTTTGGCGCACGTGGCGGCTGGAGCCGTGGCCGCCGCGGCACCTCACTGGGGGTACGTCGTCCTGGAGGTACGTTTTGGGTTTCCCCAGCGCAGCGTGCAACAGCGGAGCCCGAACAGTTGAGATGCGAGGTCCCCCCCCCCAAGCCTTCATGCCAGAAGGAATTGCGTGCGGAGCGTTGGGTTTGGATTCCAAGCTGTCTCTGGCCCTGCGCTGTTCTGTCGCCTGCCCAACTCTCAGGCCACAGGGTGGCGAGCCTCATGCGAAGTGGCATTCCAGCATGCCGTGCGAGGTTTTCCCTCACGGATCAGTCGTCCATGGCGAGTGGCCCTTCGTCGTGCCTCGTGGCCTCGTGGCTCGCGTGCCCCTCTTGAAGCCTCTGGCCGTTGCCGCTGCCTCCCCTCGCGGGCTCTTCGGCCCTGGACTCAGCAACCAGTCCATGGGTTTCGGCCCAGCGCGCCTCGCGGCCCCATCGTGTTTTGTCAGTGGCCAGGGGCCCTTCGCCACGCTTCGGGTCCTCCTCGTGGCCCCCTTCGTGGCGAAGTGAAGATGCGGAACTAAGGACCGCTTTGAAACAAAGACCAATCAGGGCTCAAGGACCCCAAATCCAGTAAACCGGCCGAGGCTGGCCTCGGAAATTGCCTTCGTTCCTTATGCGGCGTTCCGCCCGGTAGCACGGCGACTGCAGCCCGCCGCCCGTCGTCGCGCGTGGCCGATCCCAGTGCCCCGTGGCCTTCCTTCACCAGCACTTGCGCAAGCTTTGAGCAAGGCTTCG